TATATATATATATATATATATATATATTAATTAATACATATATATATTAATTATATAATATAATATAATATATATATATATATATATATATATATATATATATATAAATTAATTATATATATATATATATTAATTAACTAATTAACTATAAGGCTATATATATATATTATAATGGCAATCTTTGGAACAAACAAGAAATTTGCTGTGTTGGTGTAATGTACTCAGGTGAATAAGATGCTTGTGTGATGTTACTCTGAGTGTATATCCACACCGGGCAGGCTTGAAAATATGCCTGACCACGGTGGGAATCTAACCTACGACCTTTGGAATACTGGCCAAAGGTCGTAGGTTCGATTCCCACCGTGGCCAGGCATATTTTTCAAGCCTGCCCGGTGTGGATATACACTCAGAGTAACATCACACAAGCAAACAAGAAATTATGCCAAGCAAAGGAAGACATAATTTGCCAAACAGTTTGAAACTAAGCATGCACTATGACCAAGCACTTCAGAGCTATACAACCCGACGCCTGTACTTAGGAGTACAAGGTTAAGTATGGACGCTATCAATCAATACTTTACTATACGATGACAGATTTAAAGTACACGTCACGATTTCATTCACCGAACGAGAGCATAAAAAAGCCCAAGAAACTGCGATCTCAGTCAGTTAACACAAAGTTTTGGAATGATGTTTGAAATTCATCAAGCATTTCTGAAAATGTTACCTTTGGTCGGGTTGTTGCTGGTGCGATGGCCAATGTCCAATGCACAAAACCAATGTTCCAAATTTAAAGATGGCAAGCCATGCACCCAGTCCCAGAGAAATTTCAAGAACGTCAGTGTGGGTAAGTAAACCTTCGGCAGTCAGAAGCTGTTAGCGCGCTAAGTTAAGACCAAGACATACAGTACCGGACGCAATTCGACAACGCTATACGCGGTTTATCGATTTTCACTGACCGATAACTTTGATCCTAGTTTAAGTTTTTCAAATAAATATTTAGAAGTTATTTAGTCTAAATATCTTTTAAAAATTTCCTTTCATTGGCTGTTTTATTAAAGTTAAATCTCAAAAACTGAAACATCGCGTCCGGTGTGTCTCTGCCTTTTGACTTCTCCACCGAAGGTTGTGGGCAGGATATTATTGGGTTGGATATACATACATGCATGCAGTATACTACCATGCAGAGAGTTAAATCATTTCATACGCTTGAAGCTCATGATGGAGTTAGCCACCTTTTCTGCGAGTTATGCCTGCATAATGCAATCTATAGAAGATTATCAGTAAGCGGCTGTTTAAATGCACGATCTCGCTTTGCCAAAAGCCGGAGATGTGAGGCCGGATAATTCATTTGGTGCATCTGTAGAACAAATATACAGGGGCCGCGGAACTTGGCGGCAATGGGGGCATGTGCCTCCCCCCCCCCCACTATTTTAAAAAATGCCCTATTTTGTGGGTTAAAGTGCCCTATTTTGTGGGCTAAAGTGCCCCATGGAAAGAAAGTGCCCTTTTTGCAGTATAGTAAAGACACTGCAAAGGCCATTTCCGACGTTATAGAGACTCCATATTTTCAAAAGTTTTCGTTCGGCTCGTGAACGACATAAAATCGTTAGATTTTGGTCATATACAAAAGTGCCCCTTTTGGCCAATGCCCCTCCACTTTCGAAATGCATGGGCATTAATTAACACACTTTGTTTTCACAGGAAACCAAGTACTTCGTCCATCCAACCTGATATCAAGTCACAATATCCATCGCTTGGGAGAATGCCACTTTTTATGCATATATCAAAATAATTGCAACGGTTATAATTTCAGAGTCAGACCAAGTAGTATTTATACTGTCAACTGCCAGTTGAGTAATAGCTCTGTGAAATTGAACATGACAAGGATGAAGAGTGGGCCCTGGATATTTTACGAAGATGTTTTGGTGAGAATAAATATATAATAAATGGGTAATGCCTCGGTCAAACGTTGATGGGAGTTGATGGTTATACAACATGCAATTGCTCACATTTAACCGCGCTAACTTTGATAGCTACTCCCATGCACCATCATCAACTCTCATCAAATACCCGTTGGATATAGGTATATACGCATGCATGCAACGGTAACGTTCGGGTAAATTCTCATATAATTCTTGTTTCACCAGAATAACACTGATGACAGTTGAGAAAACTCTCGTATAACTCTGCTTGACAACACTTAATTGTCAACTTGACTATAGGGCTAGGATTAACAGTAACAGTCCAAAATATTATGAGTTAAAACAAGACGAGAATCACAATGAGGATCCATCGTGGGATGTAGTGGAAGGGAAACATATAGGTATCTCGGCCCTTTGTTAAACTTTGCGGAGATCTAAAACTAGCCCCCCTTGCGGAGATCTAAAGCTAAACCCCCAAAGACAATGACAATTAATTTTTGGTAACATAACAATTTTAAAATTTAAGGACCAAATAAGATTTAGCATTATTGTACTGACAATCAAAATACAATTATTTCCAGTTATTAATTTCTACTAAATTTTTGAAGGTTAGACCAAAATTCGAATTTCGCTTCTATTCAAGATATAGAAAGCATTCGGTCGACTAATATAGGCCGTGGGATGAGCATCCAAAAGATGCTTAGAAAACGGATTCCGTTGCACCCCTCGTGGAACTACGTAATTTTCACATGAATAAATAGATAAAAACTTACTTTATCGGAATCCGTTGCTCCCCAAGCGAAACAGGTGCACAATTGGGAGAAAAATCCCTCCAAAGTTTGATATTTTCGCGCTTCGAAATATTCGAACCGCCATTGTTTTGATAGCAAATACGCATGCGCAACTCAGCCAAACTCGCACTGCGCACGCGCACAACCAACGCACATGCTTCGAAGTGGAAACACGCTCAGTTGTGCAAATAAACATGGCTGAAGATATTTTTATAAAACTCGAATATCCTCATGTTTTATGCATTTTGATGGCGTTACGGAGCAACTTTGCAAAGTTACACGCCAAAGGCTTAAGCAATTTCTTGAGTGTAGGTCAAAATGCATATGGGCCAAACTTAAATGTCAACAAGCTGAAATAGCTAAGAAATCGTACGAGAACATCGATGACGGATCTGTCAATTCATACATCGAGAACTTAGAACTCTGACACCATTAACTTAGAATGGAACCATCATATGAAATGCTGGAAGAGATGTTGTGATGAAGAGAAGATCCGTAGATAACAGAGAAAAGAAGAAAAAGGAGAAGGAACTAGCTCTAAAACTATAACTTCTACCGAAGAATCACACGTGGAAGTGGAGGCAATAGAACCAAGGCGAAAAATTAATACACGTCAATCAGACTGAATCAGTCGCAGAAGCTATAAATTTTAAGGCCCTGCCTAAAAGA